GCGCTGGAGGGAGGAAGATGCCTGTACGCTGGAAGTGATGCAGCCATAGCTGCCCAGCGAGTAAGCATTAGTAGTAGAGGGTTAGTATGTAGCTATGAGTAGTATCCAGAGTAGATCCTCATGAGTATTGAAGAGTGTGTATGCATCATAGGAGGAAGGGATTGAGGCTGAGAGTGTTCATTCAAGGTTGGCTATGGAAGATACTTACCTGAGTTGGATGTGACCTGCAGAGGTGGCGCTGATGAGTGGTGACCACATTGATGACTTGGAGACTATCTGCAGGGGTAGCACTGATTCACTGGAAGGCATATTGATGAGTTGGCAAGATATTGGTCTTGCGCTGATGAGCGCTGGACTCAGGGGAACTTTGAAACACTTTGTATTCATATTTCTGATAAGATAAACTGTGAAACTCGGTCCTCATCTTCTCTATCTTTGTCTATTGTCAGACTACTGTTCATTGTGTGTGGGAGTACGATGCATGGCATGTACACACTTGCGTGAGATGGTCCCCAGGACCCATGCAGATTCCACTGTCACCCCACAGGGTTGCGAGCCTTCTAGTCTGTTTCTGTGTTTGTCTCGACCCTACGGTAAAACGAGGGTGCCGCAATCTGTAGCGTGGATGGCGCATTTGGTTTTGTTCTGCCAGTTCATTGTCTACAAGTCAGTCGTGCTGTCGACGTCGGTGGACCTATGAGGATGTTGATAGTGACGATGCGTTGTTTTCCTTTTCACCAACACATGAAAACTAGGGTGCAATGAGCTTGTAGATTTCAGTCGGATGAGACATCTGAGGCTTTTGCTGTGATTGGTGGCCTGCGAATTGCTGTTATTCTGAGCTGTGCCTGTGAAAACTGTGTTTGCTTGAGCGATTTTCTGACTTTTTGTCAGGCGTTGATGGCAGTAATGCATGTGGCTACTTTGGGGAGGGTCTGAGCACTAGCGCGGCTTCGCCGTCAAATAGAACGCCCGGTCATTATAGCCGTATGTGGTGCAAATTCCAGTCCAGATGCGACCATTCTTACCGGGCATTCTATTCGGGCGAAGACGGTAGGGCAGCTTCAGGGGGCACTGGCTGCTGTCAGGCTGGCTCCAGCTAGGATCGGTTCGGCCAACACTGACTGTTACACCGCCCCTACAGCCGGCTGAGCCACGGAACTATCAGGCCCCATAGCCGGCTCGAGCGAGAGAGCACCTCTTTGTCAAATGCTGACCGCTACACTGCCCCACAGCTGGCCGAGCTGCGAGTGGTGTTTTGTTACGTGTGCACTGTTGGAGTTTTGGGCGCAAAGTGTCTGTCGAGTTTGTGGACGTGCCCCTATTTTGCCATAGTGAGGGCATACTCCCACTAGGACTCTTTTCTACTGAGTAACCTCTGGACGTGATTGCAGTCAGAATTATCCAGGTCTGTCCGTAATTGTGGCTAGATACAGACAGGAAAGTCCTACTGTGATTATGCCGCCTCAGTGCGAAGGTTGAGACTCTTTAGCGAGATGATTCGAGTGTCAAGAATGGTTTGTTTGCTTGCTTAGGAGATCAGGCTGGTGTTGGGCGAAACATCATGGAATAATAAAGTTTCAAAAGGCGGTCCTTTGGGATGTCCGTTAAAATTGGAACGGTACAGAGAGAAAGAAAAGTAGCATGGACCCAGCACAAGGATGACACACATAAATCAAGAAATGGTCTTCTTTTTTTTTGTTTTTTTTCTTCCTTTTTAATAAGGAAAGTGTCAAGTGTGTTTTTTTTGAAGCTGTTTTTTCTCCCGTTCTTCTATATATTTTCTGCATCCTCGATGAGGGATTCCGGGATGAGAAAAAAAAAAAAAAAGTTGGGGACCTTCTGTTAGGTCATTTATCCCTGTGGTCATCCATAAATGAGGGCAAAAAAAAAAAAGAAAAAAAAGAGGGCAGGGGTTGACTTCTGAACCCTCAACTGTCTGCAAAATGATTCCCTGCTCAGTGCTCATGCTCTAAGGGCCATGCATACTGTGCTTAGACCCCAGTTGCAAGTGAGCACCAAGGAATATTCCAGCTTTGATCGCCCAACTTGGTGGGCATGCACTTCCATCCAGTGTATAGGCAAGAGCATTGTTTGCAATGCCCAATGAAGTCGTGGCCGTTGCATTTGGGGGCGTGGATGACGTACTAAATGGACCAGTTTGGTATCTGGTTCTCTTAGAGCGATGGCCTTCTTGTAGCAGAGCAATGGCCTTCTTGTAATGTGCCTTGTTTCTTCGTTGTTCTCATATGCTGGATGCATATGTATTGCCCTGCCCTTGCAGGAGCCTGGATCTCTATAAAGCGGCAGAAGACCATAAGAGAAGAGCTGCTGGAAATAGAAATTAATCAAGAGAGGGAGTTTGCACGGCAGCAGCGGCAGGTGTCTGTTGAGGAACATGAAATACGGCGGCATGGAGCGGAACTCGAGCGCAATGGATGGGAGGGGCCGACAACAACCGACTGCCACGCCACCTTGTCGCAAACGAAAACCCAGTGGACTGCGATGCAGGCATTACAGCAGTCTTTCAATGGGGCACAACATGCGGTGCACTCATCGTCACACCAAATAGAACGGACAGGATGTCCAGCAAATGCACCGACCCCGGTACGGGAACCGCCGCGAGAAGCAGTCATGCTGCCCTTCTGGCAGCAGGCGTGCTATCTTTCGCAGCTGCGACAGCAATGCCAGTCTCTGCAAATTCAAAAGGACGTCGCAAGGCTGAATGACCAGGCATTGCAGGGCTGTTGCGACATGGAGGACGCCTTTTGCCAGCAGCACGAACAGATGATGTGGCAACAATCTGTTCAGTTCGCAAGCACGGTAGATCGCTGTGGCCAGCAAATTCATCGAGGGCATTTCGATCCAGCTTGCTTTCCATTTGCTAGGAGCACTGGCGGCCAAGAACTTCTGGATGCCGCTGATTGCAAGAAGGAGAGTAATGCAAGTGTAGGGCAGAATGATGATACGACGGAGCAGGAGCGCGAGGAAGAAGATCAGGAAGAGGGAGAAGGCGAGGGCGGAGGCGAAGGAGTAGAGGAAAGAGGAACGGAAAGGGTGAAGGAAGGAAAGAGAGTGGAGGGAGGGAACAGGGTAGAACCAGAATTGGAAGGGAGAGGGGAAGAGCTGGAACAGAAAAATGCAATGGATGGGGAGAACAGGGAGGTACGCGAGGTAGAAAGGGCGGCAAAACAGCGGCAAGGTTGTGACAAAGAGGTCTCCTGTTCTTGGAAGAAAGCCGACACCGGTAAGATGGAGGACCTGCTGGCATGTCAAGGCGTCAACGAGGGTGTGAGAACTAGCAGGCTGGGGCAAACTGACAAAGATCGCGAGGGCGGGCAGAGAGGAGGTGATGACAGAAACGCGACGGGAGTGGCTGACGTCAGTAGGACCAAGGAGGATGGACCTGGATCGACAGGAGCTGTGGGCGGCGGTAGCTCGCCCAGTGTGGGAAATATGGAGTCTCCTCAGGCAGGATCATCTGAGAACGAAGAAGTCCAGTCGCAATCCGAAGAGCAGCATGCGGGTGCAGATCATTGGTATGAAGAGCCGCGGTTTCCAGACGGGTTCTTTATGTATCGGTGTCAGCATCATCGTCATCATGACATGGGAGTGCCTGGTGCTGAGGGAGATGATCCCCCCAACGCCACTGAAAATCACCAGAGAATTGTCCCGATCTGTGAAGAATGTTCTCACAGACAGCAGATAGACTCTGATTATCGCCACCAGCGGCAGCTGACGCGCAATCAACACAGTACAGAGGAAGACGCTCAGGAGGAACCTCCCGCCACCGCAGCTGTGGTTGATCCTGAGGAAGCATGTGTGTCTCGCCATACGCAAGCATATTCATATAATGAACTGATTACCAAGCATCGAGAATCTCACAGATTGGAGCAGCAGCAGATTGCGCAGCAGCAAATGGCGCAGCAGAAGGGCAGTCATCGCAGGGAGTCCGGAACTCAGGGGGTTAAAACGCAATCGCATTCGTACAATGAACAGATCTCAAAGCACCGAGAATCACACAGAATGGAGCAGCAGAGAGCACAGCAGAGGGGCAGTCACCTCGAGGAGTCCGGAACTTGGGGGGTCGGAATGCAGTCGCAGCCGTACAATGAGTTGATCACAAAGCACCGGGAATCACACAGAAGCGAGCAGCAGAGGGCGCAGCAGAAGGGCAGCCACCCCGGTGAGGCGGGAACTCGGGTTGGAACGCAGATGCAGTCGTTCAATGAGTTGATCACGGAGCACCGAGAATCGCACAGAAGTGAGCAGCAGAGGGCANGTGAGGCGGGAACTCGGGTTGGAACGCAGATGCAGTCGTTCAATGAGTTGATCACGGAGCACCGAGAATCGCACAGAAGTGAGCAGCAGAGGGCACAGCAAAAGGGCAGCCACCCCAGTGAGGCGGGAACTCGGGTTGGAACGCAGATGCAGTCGTTCAATGAGTTGATCACG